TTTGGGTCCGGGGTTGATAAATGTGTGTGAACGGCGACTAACGGCGTGGTACCTCTGTCTCAGTCACGGTGTGAACGGTTGCTTGTGCGTCTTGGGCTTGTTGTGTTTTTTTGTGAACGGCGACTATCCAGGGCACGCGCACGCGCACGCGCACGCACGCGCACGCGCGTGGGTGGTACACCTCTTCGCAACACCCGTCTCTTACTCCGCATGAGAAACGCTTGGCGAATCACGCGCTGGGATCCTGGGGCAGGCACGCCGACGTATCTTCTCGCCTCGGCATTCACCGTCACTCCTTCGCTTTGCGCCCAAGCGACACGAGTTGACTGCGTCATCGACAGCAGCAACTCGATCCGCGGGACGACGAATTTCAGGCACTTTGCTCACGCCGCTGAAAGTCTCCTCGCCTGCTGGTCGTTCTTCCGGCGGTACCCGGCTGCCCGGCCGCGGCTGGTGCTGAAGGACCTTCGCAGCATCGACGGCGTCATTTGGGCCGAGAGCCTCGTCCGCCTGATGGGGTGTGAGGTGCTCGGCGGCATTCGCGCCTGGCAGTACTACCTCCCAATGGCGACGCTGAACGCGGCGGGTTGCGCCGTTCGTGGCGCGCTGCGCCAGCGCAGTGGCAATGGCTACAAGGGACGGGAGGCGCCTCGCCGGCCCAAACATATACGCACACAAGACGCTCCTCTTTCCCTCCCATCTCCTATTTCCCCCTCGCCTCCTCGCCTCCGGAGACCCACAGAGAGAAAGCCTGCTGCTGCTCAGATGAAGTGGCTAATGTCGGAGAGCGACGCGTCGGAGCTGCAGCAACGCCTCCACCGCAACCACACGGCAGGGGGCGTGCTTCGCGTCGGCATCGCCAACCGGCGAGAAGTGCTTCAGCGCGGCGCCCGAGCGGCGTGCACCGCTCCACACCCCTCTCCCGTACCGCCTGTGCCTGTAGGCGCGGCTCTCGCAACCTCTCGAATGTCGACGCGGTCGCCGCCGCCCTCTCCTCGGCCCTCCGATCAGTCCAGGCAAGCTCCCGGGGCGGCGGCGACGGGTTGCAACATTTTATGCGCGTCGACGTGAACGTCGTCGCCGACTTGGGTGGCTGGACGTTTCTGGAGCAAGCAACGTGGGTCAGTGCGCAGATGTTGGTGGTGATGCCTCACGGGGCCGGATCAGTGAACTACCTCTTTGCTCGGCCGTGCACCGCCATTCTCGAGGTGTATCCCTTTGGATACTACCTGCCCGGAGAGTACCTCAATCTCGCGCGAGCCGTCGGCGCGCTCGGCTACACAGCCTACCCGGGCGACACACCCTACAACGACACGGACCGGCACTCTAGCCCCGCAGCGCGCTACCAAGCGCGGAGCGTCTCGCTCGCGCCAGATCCCGCCCGGGTGGCGGAGTGGGCGGTCGAGGCGGTCGCGGCGAGCGCGCAGTGCCGGCGCCACCAGTCACAAGGTGCGCGTGCGCCTCCTCGCGAGGCGTTTGCGTAGCGCGAGAGCGGAGCCGGAGTGAGTGGGCGCCTGTCTTTTCACTTTTGTTTTGTTTTGTTAATGTTATTGCATATTGTTATTGACCAGCACCAGCACACTCGTGATGGACTGAAGGTTATTGATAGCTCATAGCTCAAAAAAAAATACCAACACGAAAACTGGGCCGCGCGGGCAGCGGGCACCGCTCTGGGCCGTTCCTTGGCCGCTTTTTAGGCTGAACAAGGTTTTCCTCTCGCACCCCGTCTCTTTTCCTTTCCTTTTTTCTCTGCAGCACCCTCTCTTTTCCTCTCTATTTTCCCGGGAAAACCATCAAATTTTCCGGGCTCTGAGCCGAGTCTGAGGCTGGTTTGGGCCCAAAATCAGCCAAATCGGCAAAATACCGGGTATTTTGCGGGTATACCTGGAAAACCCCGGGTATACCTGGAAAATATCCTGCGACCGCCTGGGTATCGTGCCGATTTCCTCAATTTTGCGTCAGATTTTGCCCCAGACCAGCTCTCAGACTCAGGGAAACTCGCGAGTTTCCAGAATGGAGCACCAAACACCCTCTGTTTTCCCTGGAAATTTCCGGAAACGCAAAGTGCTGGGGACCCTCTGTTTTCCTTTTTGTTTGCCGGAAAAGCTTGTGCAGGCCAAGCCGCTTTGTGTATCTCGAGACCTCGAGAGAAGGCCGCCCGCAGGCCCTCCCCGCGAATTGGCTTTCTTTTCGGCGGGCAAGGCCGTTCCAATTTAATCCAAACAGCAAACTTGTGCGTGCCTCGATGGGAAAACGTACGTTCCTCATGCTGGAACGAGGCTCACAAGTCACATTGGCTCAGCCCAGCGAGCGCAACCAGAGCTGCACTCAATGCGCGGCGAGGCCTCGTGCGACGCTCCGGCGCTCTGTCCCGCGGCGGACCTTCTCGTCCCGTCCTCCGACGCGGCAGAGGCGGGGGTCCCGTTCGAGCGCCTCGCTCTGGTGCGCCACGAGCTCGACAGCTACCGCGCCGCCTGCAGTGCAAACGGCTTTGACGCGCACCTCGCGTCGTACCGGAGGCTGTACAACCGTACGCTCGACCCCTCCGTGGCGGATGCGCGCGTGCTGGTGGTGCGGGATAGCATCGCCCGGCGCGACCGCGGCATCGGCCAGCAGACGCCGTTCTTGCTCAAGTGGCTGCTGATTGGCTTTGCGCTGCAGCGGCCAGTCTACTTCCAGTACTGCGCCACGGAGGCGGAGCCGTGGGCCGAGCCCGAGGTGCGGCACCGGACGGGCCGCCGGTACGGGCCCATGCACTGCGACCAGGTCCACTACGACCTGGGCGACTACTTTGGCCTCCTCGGCGGCGTCGACGTGCGGTGGCGCCCGCACCTCCACGCGGCGGCGATGCGCAGGCGGGGGCTCCGGCAGACGGTGGTGGGCGCCTGCTCACTGGACGAGCGGCGGCCAGCTCCGGGCAGCGACGGCGAAGAGGCCGACACCTGGCTCTTCCTCTGCCGGCCGGCGCAGTGCGGCCCAAAGGCGGAGGCCAAGTCGCTGCTTCCCCGGCTGCGCGAGCGCATGCTCCGATTCTGGACGTCGTCCGAGGTGGAGGAGCACCCGTTCCTCGCGTTCGAGTACCCGACCCTCACCAAGAGCTACGGCTGCACCGGCATCTCCCCTGGCCTCATCTATGGGCCCGAGTTCGACCGCCTGCTCCACCAGCTGAGCGCCACCCCGCGGCCGGCGCCCTGCGCGAGCGTGCCCGACGCCGCCCGGCCGGCGAGCGCCGGGCAGTGCCTGACAGGCGCCCTGCCCGTGGGCTGGCTGGCGGGCGTGATGGGCCACCGCATCTTCGTGCCCCGCGACTCGAGGAAGCTCGAGGGGTGGGCGGCTTGCGCGCAGTTCGCCCTCCTCCGCCCGACGCCGCTGCTGAGGACCGCAGCCTCGCGGCTGCTCCCTCGACTGCAGCGCCGGACCGGCGACGGCGACCAGCGCGCTGCCACGCTGTACTCCCTGCACCTGCGAACCATGGAGGTGGACGATGCCGCCTGCTTCTCGGTGGCAGGCGCGGTCACCAACGGAAGTGCTGCGGCGATCGATGACGGCGTGAGCGCCGCCGGCGCGATGCGGGCCCTCGACCTCGCCTTTGCCTTTCCGGCGCGGCGTCCGAGCGGCTGCCGCCGCTGGATGCGCTGCAGCGCCTTTGGCAGCCTGTTCGATCTCAGCCCCGCTGCGCCCTTTGGCGGCCTCTCCGGCTTTGTCGCCGGCCTCCTGCGCCACCTGCCGGGCGGGGCGCGGCTGTTCCTCTCGACCGACTCGCCCCGCGCGGAGAAGCTACTCCTCCGCGCGTTCGCGCCTCGGCTCGCGACCGCCAGCGACGGCGCCGCCTCCTTCCTTGTGCCGACCTGGCACGAGGGCGCGGCGGCCGACCCGGAGGTCGCCGCGCGCCGCCGCTCGAGCTGGCTGTTCGCGGCGCTCGACTTTTATGTCTTTGGCCTCTCGTCGGGGATCTTCCGCATGGACGCGAGCTCCCAGTTCCCGCGGATGGCCGCGCGGCGGCGGTTCGGGGTGCCAATCGTCGGTGGCGCCGAGGACTTTTGCCGCCTGCTCTCCAACCGCTCGTCGATGGGCGCCGCGGCGCCCGACGGGGGGACGCGAGGCCCGGACGGCCCCGGGGGCCTCGAGGTTGGCGCGATCGTCCAGTCGTGCATGGACGAGGCGATCGACGCGGGCGCACCCTCGGACGGCGAGGGCTCGGACGAGGCGTGGCAGTCGCGCCGGCTCGCGGCGCTGACCCGGTGGCAGGGCTCTCTCTGCGCCGCCGACGCGCGCCTCTGGAGGTCCGGCCGCAAAGGCGCGGGCGCAGCGGGCGGCTGCGCCGCCGACGAGCACGCGGGGAGAGACCGACGAGCCGCGAGGTTGCGCGGGAGATAGATGATCCGCCACGCGCATTGAGGCGCCCCGCCGCCGCCAAGAGAGTAGGGAGGAGTGGGTAATGCGTTGGTTGTACTAAACCCCTCTTCGTCTGCTAAGATTAACAATGCGTCTTTCTTGTTCGTTTAGAAGCTAGACGGCGCTCCGAAAGTCCTCATTATTCGCGGCGACGTCGCCGTCTCTCTCACACACTGTCCTCCCCCCTCCTCTCGTCTTGTGTTTCCGCCAGGGCTCAGCTCTCAGAGGGAGAGGTGGCGACGGCCGGGCGGCGCGCGCGTGTGTGTGTTTGGGCCCGAGTATAGTACAAAAGAAAACGATGCCGGGAAGCTTTCCCCCCTTGTGTTTTCTTGCCTTCGTTCCTGGCCGGCAAAAGTGCGCAAAGGCGTTCACTGTAGTGAGCGTCGGGCTGGTTTCTCTGTGTTGCATCGAGGGTCCCCGAGGGTGAAGGGAAGCTTGCAGGTGGTTTGGCTCACAGACGCCTCAACGAACGGACGCCCTGCCAAGGCCGAACGAAAGCCAAACATACCTCACGCCCGAGCACGTCGGCCGTCTCTCACACACTGTCCTTCCAGGGGCCTGGCAGGGTCCCCGAGGGTGCCGGCCGGGAAGCTCGCAGCAGTTCGGTGGAAGACGCTCACGGACTGAGCAAGGCCGAACACAGAACTTGCGCCGCGGCCTCCATGGTGGCGCCGCCCTTTGCCGCTCTTTCCCCCCGCGCCCACGTCGCCCGCACACGCGTCCTGGGACCGGCCCGAACGCGCGCCCGCGCCGGCTCCCACGCGCGCGAGGCGTCCTCGTTGCCGCAGCCTCGGCAACTCCGTCCCTCCGACTCCCTCCCATGATGCCCGCCCCACCACAGGAAACGCACATGTTCGTCACCCTTCGCGGCAGCGTCTCGGTCAGCGCGGCCAACCTGCCCCCCGGCCTCCGCGAGGCGATCGAGTCTGCGGCTGGCGGCGCGGCCGGCGGCGGCCTTCCACCGGGCCTTCGAATCATCGGGGCGCCGGCAGAGCTCTTCGCGCCGGGCGGCCCGCTCGGAGGCCCGCCGGCCGGCGCCGCCCCAGCCAACGCGGCCGACGCCCCCAGCCCCGGCGTGGCCGCCGCGCCCGACTTCGGGTCGGCGTTTGGCGCAATGGTCGGTGCGCCCGCGGGCGCGGCGCCGGGAGAGGGCGGCGAGATGAACGACCGGATCCGGCACCTGTCGGGGGCGATCGCAAACACGATTTTCCGCGACCTCCTCTCGGGCGCCATCCGCGCCGGCGAGCCCGGCCCTCCCCCCGCGTCAGAGGACGCCATCTCCAAGCTCGAGCGCAACGTGACGCCCCCAGAGGGGAGCCACTGCCCCATCTGCCTCTCGGGCTTCGGCGATGAGCCGGAGAGCCCGGCGGGCACGCGGGCGGCGGGCGGCGCCGGCGGCTCCTCCTCCTCCGCCGCCAACGCCGGCCCCCGATGCCGCGGCTCCGCCTGCCGCACCGTCCGCATGCCGTGCGGGCACGACTTTCACGAGTCGTGCCTGCTGCAGGCGGGCTCTTGCTCCGCCCCCGCCCACCGCTCCTCGCTCCCGCCCGACGCCCCCCTTCCCAACCCCCCTTCTCCTCTCCGCCTGCCCGAGTGCCCCCTCCCTCGCCCCCTCCCTCCCCACCCCGTCCCCGCCTCCCCCGCCTCGCCCACCTAAAAAGCAGCAGCAGCACCGCCGCCCTCACGCCCCCCTCCCCCCCACCCCCCCCGTGCTGCAGTGGGTGCGGACGCACAACACGTGCCCGATCTGCCGGCACGCGATCGAGCAGGACCCGGCCCCGCGCGCGCCGCCCCTCATCTCGATGCTGCACGGCTGGCGCGAAGCCACCAACCCAGACGGACCCTCTGCGGGCGGCGGCGGCGGCGACGGGGGGCCCGCGCTCCCCGGCGGCAGGCTGGCTGGAGGGGTGGCCGCTCCGTCCGCCTCGGCGGCCGAGGCGATGGCGGCGGCGATGCAAGGGCTGCAGGGCCACATGCACGTCTTCAACGCCGTCTCTGGCGGCGGCCTCGACCACACCGCTGCCGCCCCCGCCGACAGCGCCGACGGCGCTGCTGCCAGCTCGAGCTCCTCTCCGTGAGCTCCTCCCCCACCTCCTCCCCCCCCCCCCCCACACACAGACGCACGCACACCCACGCACCCACTCTCCACCCACTC